GTTACATATGCCAAGAAAAGTTGTGTTTCGAGGACTTCTCTTCACCCAACACTTTCACTCTAAATGGAAGTAAGCTCAACAATTTCCTCAGCTAGCCAAATTGATTCAATTAATCATAAGCCAGATGGCCCTAGCTCAACTAAGAGTGCCGCCGGCAATTACACTGAGTCACTGTTTGAGTACTTACTGTGAAATTGAAAGTGGCGTCTGCCCGTGAATAAGCTTCCTTGAGTCGAACTGGGACACCGGAAGACTCTTGTGCCATCGCAGAGATAGCCTTGATAAAGCGTGTCAGCAATACTGAAAGACGGGAGATTAGGAGAATGCACAGTGGGATTGCCACAATCCCGTAAACTAAGGTCAAGGCTCGGCCTGCATTCGTCGTAGGCACCATTGTCCCATATCCTAAAATAGATAATTTAAAAATAAATATATGGTTAATTCCTTTAAATTCTACGAATATGTCGGTTATTCAACTGTTAACACTTCCCGGGTGACCTCTGTCAATATGTATTTCGCAAATGAATAGGCAACCTAAGTCCCAGCCTACGTTGCATTATAAAGGTACTGAACCAAATGTTCTTTTCATTCTCATTATTATCAGGATTGCCTTATTGTTATGACCCTTTAAACTGGTATAATTGACGAGACTAAAGCGATTTAAATGAATAGAGGGTATCACCAGAAGGCACCTTAAGCGAGTAGAACAAATAATGCATGCAACTTCCCGCATTTAGAAACTCACGATTACTCTATTACAAGTACTAACTCTGCTGCTAATCTCTTTTGCAACTTAAGCTATTAAAAGTAAATTTAATAACATTTTAAGCAGATTGGATTTCGATATTTCACTATCTTTCGCTTGCTTAGTGAAGTCGTTTGCCGAGTCTAACCTTGCTCTGAACGACAGAGCCATCGATGAATCATTGTTTTTTGGCATGATGAGTACTGCATAAAGTTTCCTAAATAAGAGCAGAACTGACCTATTGTTGTGAAGATCGTGAAACAGAAGTACACTCCTCCAAGAAGCGTCCATTTCGACGGGGTTTGTACGCTGAGTTCATCGGTGCCAGCCGACCAAGCCTCTTGAAGTTTCTCTTTGTATCTGTCAACTTGAGATACCAGAAGAGACCAATCGGCCATCTCGCCTTCTGAAGCCAATTTTTGAGCAACCACGAAGATTTTCTGACGAGCCTATTTTGGGTATAATCAAATAGAGTTCTGACATTTTAAAATCCAACTCAATCAGTAAATTTTTCTTATAAGCATGCTTCGAAGCTATCAGTAGTTCTTGAATAACTTGAACC